CTTTTATTGATTTCTAAACCATCACTACTTTAAAAAATATCTCAAAATAAAATTTAATTTCATTCTAAATATTTGCAGCAGACAAAAAGTTTAACAATTTGTTTTTTAAAAGAAAGCAAAATGTAGTCTAACATATGGTTTAATTTGTTAGTCCAAGATGGTTTTACAATGATCCTAAAAGTAAAACTAAGGAATTTTTTATTTTATTTGTACAACTTCACATGCACTTGTTTAAATAAACTTTATAGTTTGGTTGTCTAATCCGGATAGATGGAGTTTGATGTAACGCTGTATAAGCTTTACCAAACAAATAAACAATCCGTATAATAAATTTCAAATTGAATTTACGACCGTTCCAAGAATGGTCTTTTGAATGTCATCATACGTAAACCATTTAAAATCTAATCTATTAGATTAAAAGGAAAAAACTATTATGATAACCTAGTCATTAGACAAAATACATTTAGTCAAATGTAGCGTTTTGGAGTGGTAGCAAATTTAAGCAATCAACCTCTTTGATTCAATCTCCTATCAGAAGTTTAAGAAAATGGTCTAGCGGACCTATTGACAAAAAAAACCAAATAAAAAGTAATGTAAGATAGATACGAATACAAAATTCACTAATAATACTATGCTAATCTAAAACTAGAAACGGGAGTAGATTAAACTCGGATAACTTATAGACTCATAAAAAATAATCCAGTGATGAATTTAATTAGTAGCAAATGGGACAAAAATGAATTTACACTAACCCCAAGTTAAATTATAATGAAGTTCATGATCTCAATATCGAACAATAGTAAATGGGTCAAGCGACTTAATGTTGTGAGGCCTACTAGAAGTCGGCCCACTATGGCTAATGGCCAGTTTCTTGGTCACAACTTTTTTTGTTTTCTTGGTCACAACTTATGTGTGTACTTCTAAGTCCTACTATACTTTTGATTTAAAGTTAACCGTTTTATCTACACACATAAGTTGTGAACAGTTCTAAGGATGATAATCAAATCCTTACCAATCTCTCCTAAGTCCTAAGCACCGGATCTCGAAACCTGCCCGCGAAATTTCTTCTCAGAACTGTTCGCTTGAGTCTCCGGTGATGTAATTTTTTCTTTCACTTTCTGATACTACTCGACAAAATCAAGAAAGCTATTTGGTCGTAGAAACGGAGAGAGCAATCAAGCGGAGAAAAACAAAATTCGAATTCCAAGTCCCGAAAGAAGAGAACGCAGCGTTTTGTTACTTCTATTCAGGTGATTTTATAACCCACGCTCTCTATGAGCCACATCGATACTTGTAGGGGCGTTGGGCTGGATAATAATAGTTAGATAAGGGAGATCATGTGAGACCCTCTAAGCCAAAGAGAGGCATTGGAGCAAGAGCACGAACAGTAGATGGAGTCTTTTGTCAAAAGACTCACAAGTCACAAGGTATTTTTTCGATCCATTCCGGGAAAGTGAAGTCGAACTCCCATGTCAAACGATCCTGCGTAGGTGGAATGGAAATGTCATTTATGCTAGCGGATCTGAATGACCGATTTGATAATATTGATGAAGACTAGTGCGGATGGATGGGGGTGGGAAAAACGGAAAAATTCAGGAAACCAAAATAGTTATTCCATTTATGTCCCATTTTTAAAAAAATATTATAAGCAACAGGACGTGAATTACACCCAGTCCTAAGTGCGGGTATTTTTCCGGGTGAATCTTTGGGAAACACAAGGTCTAAAAGTAATAATTTAGGTTGTCGAAAAACACATTAAAAGTCTTCCGGTCTTTGTGAATTGTGAACAAGTTTAATAATTCTACGAGGGGTCGACTATAAGAAAATACATTATAAGATTTCATTAACAATTTCAAGCCTTACACGAAACTCAATCTAAAAGAACAAAGGTTGGAGATTTTAACCTTTTCTCACAAATACAAAGAGACACACAACAGTAGAAGAAACAAATATAAAAAAAGCAAAGAGATTTTTCTCTTTTTAAAATCTCAAATCTTCAAGCACATTGGAAACCATAAGGAAGTTTCTTGCCACAATAGTTCAATAGCAAGCTTAGATCAACAGGAACATTGAGATTAAGCCCCAAGATATTGGCTTTAAGCGCGGTACAAAGACAAACCGCAGCTTCAAGATTAGCCAGACCCTTAAGAAGTCCACAACAAGGAGTCTTTGGTGGTGAACCAACAACAACGTTAACTAAACCCAATAAGTCTGCGCAAACACCGAGCTTAAGTGTGTCGGTAGGACAAGTTGGTTTAACCGCCGGGTTTTTCTTCGGGCTTGGGGTTTTTGGGGGTTTAGGAGTAGTTGGTGGACATTTTGTGGAAGTAACAAAAGTGAAGAGAAGAAGATTAAGTGTGAGAAGAAGAGCTGTAACCGCAAGAGCTTTAGAAGCCATTAGAAACTACTTTTAGTAATGTTTTGGGATGAATGTAAAGGAGAGATAGCACATGGTTTATATAGAACAAGAAGTTAGTGACTTGGTAATAGAAATATACATAGTAAAAACAAATGTGGTGTGAATGATTGTGAAGAAAAATTTGAGTAAGAAACAAAACTATCCAGCTAGTTGGCTATTGCAACTTGAGTGAGACCATGAGATTGATTTAGACTAATTTTGGAATTTCTTTTTTATATATCATCAAAAGGGAAAAGACAAGAATTCTGTCTTGTTTGTTTGTTAATGTAATTTATAAAAGGGTTCCACAAGCTTTGTTTCGACATTGTTGAGCCAGAGTGTCTCTTTGTGAGGTATGTATCAGTTTCAGCATCAAGATGGGATCCATTATACATTGTTGATAAGATATTTTATTTTACATTGCATGTGTCCCTATTCCTTTAGATTCTTTTACTAATGATCTTTCAATATCACTAGATTTTTTTCCCCCAAAATGTAACTTGAAAAACATAATCTCAATAACATATTCACATTTCTTTAACAAGTTTATAGCGCATAATTTTCTTTAGAAGAACTTTATTAGAATTTTATAAGTTTTTTTTTTTTTCAACCTGAAATTTTATTAGATAATCATACGAAAGAAGAGAATATTTCAAGATCAGTCTATATACATTTTAAAAAGTGCAAGAACATAATAATGAGTTAAAACTTAAAAGAAAGAAAAAAAAGTGCAAGAACAAAGTAATAACAACTTTGAGAAGATAAGTTGAGAGAACTATAAACACAAATTTTGAAAGATGGAGAAGCATCAATACGCAGCCGTTTTTCTTTTGTCAATTCAAAGATTCAGATAGAAGAAGCACCAAATGTGTTTTCGCCGCTGTAAGTAATGTAAAGGAAGCCATCTTCGTCTTTCTTATCGTCGTAGACGCTTGACATTAGCTCACCAGTAGGAGGAAGAACATTGTCAACGAATATGAAGATAGCTTTCTCTGCACTTAGTTTGATTCTCTTCCGAATCACATACACAAATTGACCAACTGTTAGGTCTGATGGCACAAGGTATCTGCATTCATCAAATCCTAACCGTTTTAAAACTACAAATCTTGAGCAACATTTGCAACATATTAAAAAGTAAAGATGAATGGTCTTTACTTTTTCTTGTCAATGTTTGGGATTTCACTTTTCTCAGCCTTTTCCACAATCACCTGCAACAAAAATACATTGTGTGCCTCAATACAATGTAAGGTAGTGATCATTATCTTG